AGCATGTCACAAACCTCCCCCTGGAAGGGAACTAAGCAGGCTTTTCACTGGAGGATTGGAGAACAAACCAGCACAGAGGGGGCACACGGAGCAGGCACAGACACACACCGGAGCAGCAGCACATTTGCTAATGGCAGCAGCTTTGACTTAGCAGTTTTTTCTTTTGTTTGCTTCTTACCTTCGCTTGCCAGGCATTTATCCTCCCTTGCTGATTGAGACGCGCGAGGGAAGGCTCCCATGAGTTATACCAGGATTTCTTATAGGAAGAAGCTGTAATCTGAGCATTCTTGATCTCCCCATTTTCCATTCCCAGTGGCAGAGAGCAACCTGTTAAGAGAATAGCAGTAGGTCTCCATTTCATCTCTTGAACAGCAGTGGACTAGAAGAATAAGCAACAGGCTAGGAACGCCCGTCTCTGCCACTGACTTGCTGTGTGGCCTTGCTCAAGTCATTGTAACCTCCCTTGTGCCTCAGTTTCCCCATCTTTAAAAAGGGGGTAATGCAGGGTTGTTGTGAGCATTCATTTGTTAAAACGTGTAAAGCACTTTGAAGTTGTGAAGTGCTATCTACATTCTAACTGCTCAGGGAGTGGCAGAAGAGAATACATTTGCAGTCAGGGTGTGGAGCTCTCTTTGCCCAGTCATCATTAAAACTAAGTCCAGCAGATCTGTGAAATAAAAGGTTTGTGCGTCTGCCTATTATGGGTGAGACTCTCAAAAGCACCCAGAGTTAGACCAATTCTGAGCGCTTTTGAAAGTCCCACTCTGTATTAGTTTATTTGAATGGCAATATAAGAACAAGGGAACTGGGGAAAGGGGATCCACAGCCTCTCATTTCTAGGTTGCAGGTTTGAATCCAGCCCAGGGCAGGCGTAACTGCAAGTCACTCATGCGATGACTGTGCAATGGCTTGTGTGAAATGAGATTTACGGACTCAGTCCTGTTCCTGTTGGCCATGAGCTCACATCACCACTTCAGGTAGTGCTGACTGTCAGCACGCTAATGGCCTCTTTGTTGTTCTTGTCAGAGAGGCCTATAACTGAATGAGACATGAAGACTAAACTCTGCTCCCACTCCCAGAGGAAGTTTCCCCAGGTCTGTGTTAAGGCTCATACATAAGGCAGCGTGCAGAAAGCTGGCACTGCCACTGACCATGTCTTGCCTGTTCTGTGGATAAACAGAGAAAAGCCAGAACTGTCAATCCAAATACAAACACCAGTACGAAGAGTGGGCTTTTCAAAAGCACTGAACGGGAAAAGACCCCTAACTTCCAATGGCTTTGAATGGGAGTTGGGTACCTAGATGTTTTTAAAAATCGCACCCTAAATTCATTAAGGCCACGGATTTCAGAAGCATCTTGTGATTTTTGGATGCCCAACTTGAGAAACCCAATTTTCAGAGGGTGGGCAGAACTGTGTCTGAAAATCAGGCCCCTTTGAGGTGTCTCATGTTGAAAATAATAATGGGGGATTTCAATTATCCCCATATTGACTGGGTACATGTCACTTCAGGATGGGATGCAGAGATAACCTAGCTTGAGACCTTAAATGACTGCTTCTTGGAGTAGCTGGTCCTGGAACCCACCAGAGGAGAGGCAATTCTTGATTTAGTCCTAAGTGGAGCACAGGATCTGGTCCAAGAGGTGAATATAGCTGGACCGCTTGGTAATAGTGACTATAATATAATTAAATTTAACATTCCTGTGGCAGGAAAAACACCACAGTGACCCAACACTGTAGCATTTAATTTCAGAAAGGGGAACTACACAAAAATGAGGAGGTTCATTAAAAAGAAATTAAAAGGTACAGCACCAAAAGTAAAATCCCTGCAAGCTGCATGGAAACTTTTTAAAGACTCCATAATAGAGGGTCAACTTAAATGTATACCCCAAATTAAAAAAACATAATAAGAGAACCAAAAAAGAGCCACCATGGCTAAACAAAGTAAAAGAAGCAGTGAGAGGCAAAAAGGCATCCTTTAAAAAGTGGAAGTTAAATCCTAGTGAGGAAAATAGAAAGGAGCATAAATACTGTCAAATAAAGTGTAAAAATACAATTAGGAATGCCAAAAAAGAATTTGAGGAACAGTTAGCTAAAGACTCAAAAAGTAATAGCAATTTTTTTTTTAATTACATCAGAAACAGGAAGCCTGCTAAACAACCAGTGGGGTCACTGGACGATCGAGGTGCTAAAGGAGCACTCAAGGATGATAAGGCCATTGCGGAGAAACTAAATGAATTATTTGCATCGCTCTTCACGGCTGAGGATGTGAGGGAGATTCCCAAACCTGACTCGTCCTTTGTAGGTGACAGATCTGAGGAACCGTCCCAGATTGAGGTATCATTAGAGGTGGTTTTGGAACAAATTGATAAATTAAACAGCAATAAGTCACCAGGACCAGACGGTATTCACCCAAGAGTTCTGAAGGAACTCAAATGTGAAATTGCAGAACTACTAACTGTGGTTAGTATCCTATCATTTCAATCAGCTTCTGTACCAGATGACTGGAGGATAGTTAATGTGAGGCCAATTTTTAAAAAGGGCTCCAGAGGTGATCCCGGCAATTGGTCTGACCAAGTAGGGCCATTCTTATGTTCTTAAATCTTGGCCCATAGAAAAAAAGGTTGAGCGTATTTTTCTAAGGGATAGAGGGGAAACAAGTACCAGTGAATTCTCATTGCTCACCTTCGACTTCGCAGCCCAGGAGTTCCATGCGAAGAGTAGGCCTGTTGTACGAGTCAGATGGATAAACCCTAATATACCTAGCAATGATAGGTGGATCAATATGGTTGTCTTTTATCCCATGGGCATCTGAATTACCTTCAAACAACTAGTAAAACAGAAAAATGCAATTAAGATTTCAGAAAAGATAATGATATTAATTACAAGCTTGGTCCTGCAAACCCTATGTCATGTGATTAAGTCTTTACTTATGCAATTTCAATGGGGCTACTCACATTATAGCAAAACCTAAAAACACATCATCCTTATCTTTGCCGTACTATAGCATCCAGAGGCTAAACCAGGACCCAGTGTGTTAGGCGCAGTAAAGACCCTTATTAGGATATTAATAGACAGACAACTAAGACCAGTGGAGACCTAACATGCATTAACACCTATCATACAAACACCATGACACTGTGGGTATGGCTACACTACTGCAGCTACAGGTGCAGCGTGCTGGGGCTGTACCGCTGTAGTGCCATAGTGTTCACCCTTCCTTTGTCGCTGGAAGGGGTTTTCCATCAGTGTAGTTAATTCTCCTCTCCAAGAGGTCGATGGAAGAATTCTGCATCTACAGTGAGGCGTAGGCTGAGCTAACTACATTGCACAGGGTGTGATATTTTTCAGAGCCCTGAGCAATGTAGCTAGGTCAATTTAATTTTTAGGTGGAAACCAGGCCTCAGAGTTGAACTCCAGCTGGCAGGGAAGGGGAGTTTGGGCATAGACAGGAGACCCCAGAAGGTGCTATATGGACACTTGGGTTGCACATGCGTTAGGTAGCTACTGCTAATATTAGCAGTACTATTGTGAAAGGGTGCCAGGGCTGGGCTGCACTGAACAGGGGCATGAGTTCAGCCCAGCGTCCCACTCTCCTTGCACATGTGCTCAGGGGAAGGGCCGTGAGACAGAAGTGGGGACAGAGGCCTGTGCAGAAGTGGGGCTGCACAACCAGGGTTACGGGGCTGGGTTGAAGCCCAGGCTGGGGAGATTCCTTATCTCTTATTACGATCCGGTATTCTGCTGTGTTATACACACCAGGCCAGACTAGTAAAGGGATCTAGGTGCCTCACGATGCAGATAGGCATCTAGTGCGGTTTTCAAAAACCCCTTTAGGCACTTAGGTCCTTTGGAATTAGTGGGATTTTCCAATCTGCACCTTCATGCGCCTAAATACCTTTAAAAATCTGACCCCTTATTCCTGGAGAAAAGCCCCTGGTGGCTGCCTGTGTGGTACTTTCTGCTGAGCCATCCCACCCGCTTACAGCTGCGTAAAGCCAGGGAGGCTGTGGTGATTAACGAGCAGGCAGACCTTCTGTCCCCCAGTGCTGTTTCCTATGAAGGTGATCCACTTCCGTTTGTCCTTGCTGTAAGTCATAAAGAACTCTTTGACATACAAGGACTTCATCAACTGCTTGGCTCCCTGCGTCTGTATCCCTGTGATCAGAACTTGCCTTTGCAGGTCCACCTGTAGAACAGCAAGATACACAAACTGTAAGAAAAGCTGAACCGTGAACCCAATTTCATCCTCTGGCAGCTAGGGAGTGGGGCCCAGGCCTGCATTTAGGCACTCAGAATGGCACTTCCATGCTCAAGATGGGTAACGGGGTGTCTAAGCTGGTGCAAGAGTCCATCACCACAGTATCTGGGCACCTGACAAACATTAATGAATCCATCCTCGCAGCGTCTCTGGGCGAAGCAGGGGAGTGTTGCTATCTCCACTGTACAGACGGGGAGAGCGAGGCACAGAATGGGTAAGGCCTACATTTCCAAAGCAGCCTCTGGTTTTGAGCGTCCAGCCAGAGATAACCAGGGCTTGTTTTTTGGGGATGTTGAGCCCCCACAACTCCAGCTGAAGCCACCAGGGGCCATGAGTGCTCAGTACCACTGAAAAATTAGAACCTGGTGTCTCAAGCTGGGCACAGAAGCACCCTCCAAAAACCAACAACAAAAACCAGGCAACATTTGAAAGTTTTTGCACCAGGTCACACGGTGATTGTGTAGCAGAGCCAAGGTGTCCCGATTCCCGGGAGTGAGTGCCTTCACCAGAGGACCCTTCCTCCCCCTTAGGCCTTCTGATGCAGACAGTGAAAAGGTCAGTGATGTTGTTTACTATTGAAGCTGCTGCAGGAGAAGAAAGATGCTCTTTCTGCAGCTGATCAGAAGAACCCCTCCCCCCCCCGCAATTATTTTAAAGGGAGTTTTCAGCCCCACTTCATCAAGCACAAACGGATTATTTCTCTTTCCAAGTTTTCTGCCCTTACAAAAGAAAAGCAATTCTTTTCATGGATTTCAGGGGGATTTGGAAGGCATCTGTAACCACAAACCGTGGTTTCTACTGAGCAAGTCATATGAGAGCCATTAACTCCTTCACAGCTGCTAGACTGTTTTTATGTATTTTTAATAAATAAATGATGTTGACTATAATCACTTCAAACGTGTTGGGGGGAAGAAAGAGGAGAGGAAAGGTGTTGGGCTGATAGCTCGGGGGAGAGTGAATCTTCTATTTATCCAGCCAACATGTGCAGTGACAGTGCAAGCTTCCCCCACGCTAGCCCACCAACAGGCCTCCTCCCTGAGCCGCAGGTGCCATCCCCAGGGCTCACAGGGGTGTTCGGTCTCCATGGCCCATCCAGTCCTTGGTCCCTCTTCTGAGACTCCCAGCAAGGGGGCCAGTTAGCACCAGTTTTGGTGGGAGAAGGGATGGGTTTGCGATGTGGACTGAGATCATCAACTCATTATATACAGGTCTCTGCTGTGATTTTCTGGCTCCAGCAAAACCAGGCTGGATTCAGACAAGCGACATCGCAGAGAAAGCCAGCACATCTTGTTATCTATCTTGTGAGCTGTTACGTTCCTCCTTAGCAGCAGTTTTAATTGAACATCCATAATAACCTGCAGCTGCTTATAGAAAGTTTCTCTTTGATCCAGTAAGATGAGCGAAGAGGCGATTTTAGAGGAGATAGGCTTAGCACAGCTCTGACTGGCTGAGCAAGGAGTCTGGGAGGCTCTCATCTGCCACACCTGGTAAAGCAGCTGCCTAGGGATCACACATGTCCCATTTAAGAGCATGAGCTGCAGTGACATGCAGGACATACTGTCTGTCAAGCTACAGAGAGCAGATACAACAACAAACAGGCAATTTCTGCAAAATCTTCTAGTGCTACAGCCAGTTCTAAGGAAATACTCAGTGGGGGCCTGATTTTCAAAACAGCTCAGCTACCGCCGCCGGTTAGGCACCGAAATGAAGTGACCGGATACTCAGAAGTACTCCGCACCCAGAAGTCTCCACTCTTGAACATCTGGCCAAGTCTTTAGGGGCCTAACAGGTCGCTGAGCTTCTCCAAGAACCTGGCCACTTGTTCTGGGGCATCTGGAAAGCCACCAGAAGCTGAACAGGAAGAGCTTAAAGTACAAAACAACTTGTAATGCATTAACCTCTCCTTCACCCCATGTAAAAGTTTGTGTAGTGAAGTAGAAAGCAGATGTCCAACCCATGACTAGACTGCAGGATTAGCTGGTCACGCAGCAAGGGGTGAATACATATACACATTGAGAGACGGGGACAGCAAAAGGACAGGCTGTTTATCTACAGTATGATTATACCCTAGGCAGCGGCAGGGCAAACTTCCCCACAATTGCCCCCGACAACAGGCCACGACACTGACACAATACTGCGGCAGTGGCTCAGCATTCACTTGAAGAGGAGCGTGCAACCTACTGAATCATCAGTACCACTTCCTGCAACCCCTGAGTTTTCCTTGGCAGCCTCTTTGGGAAGGTCTAGTTCTAGTTTGACCTTGTTTAACACACGAGACCCCAAATAAACCCAGCATGTGTGTGGTGGTGTAGCTGCAGGCATCAGCTAACCGGTCTGGACGTCACAGTGAGCAAGTATATATTATACCAACCATACCTGGATCCATGGAATTTCACTTTGCTCCATGTCAGTGCTCCAAGCATTATATTTTCCAGCGTTGTTTAATCTAGCTAATTTAGGCTCCCAATAGTCTAGGTGGAAAAAAGGAAGAAGGATATATGGTAAAAATCAAGGAAAACCAGAAAGCCACTGGCTTCTCAGCGTGCATATTTCAGTTCTTTTTTGGTTGTCCTGAAGAAAGAGACTCCAATACAAATACCTGATAAGCTGTAAAGCTGACAAAAGCTTTAGAGACATTGGACGTTATGAAATAAAAATTGACTGATCTTTGAAAACATGATTATAGTCAGAAAAGTGGCTTTAGAAATAATATACCTAGCGCTTACCTAACACTTTTCATCAGCAGATCTCAAAGCACTTTATAAAAGGGATCAGTATCGTTATCTCCATTTTATAGATGAGGAAAATGGAGGTACAGAACAGTGAAGTAATTTCCCCAATGTCACCCAGCAGACCAGTGGCAGAACTAAAAATAAAACCCAGGTCTCCTGAGCCCCAGTCCTGTGCTCTAACCACTAGGCAACACTGCCTCCCCTGGCACCCTTTTACTGAACCTACTACTTCCTTTGGCTTCGTCAGCATTAGGGGTTGGAGTCAAGTTACAACATGCAGCAGCCAGAGCTAGCGGTGGAGGCAGAGTCAAACCACGTTCAACATCCACTGTAGAAGGCAACCCCTCGTGAAGGGCACTGTTAAAAATGAATTGTTTCTCTTGTCTGATAGATAATTTTCAAATGTGTGTGACTTGATTACTTCTAAAGCAAATGCCTTCAGAGGCATCTGTCCCTCAGAGAGAGCTAAATCCACAGGAAGTTTGAAGTCACCAAAATAAGCCATTTCTTTATTATCTCAGGGAGGAAATAGCATCTGAAAAGAGTATCCATCCATGGGTATATGGAATGTTACCAAACTCCCCATCAAAAGCTCACCTTTGGGATGGGAATAAGTGAGAGAAAAAAGACCCCAACATTGCTTGGAATGTCATTTTGCAGCATTTTACTCCCTTATAATATTCATACACTGCACTTCTACCTCTCATTCCCCTTAAAAATAGCAATGCATCCTCAATGCCATTTTACAGCTGGAGAAACTGAGGCATTGGGGGGAGTAGTGACTTGTCCAAGGCCACTCATCAGGCCAGTGGCAGAGACAGGAATAGAACCCAGGTCTCCTGACAACCTTGTCCTGTACATTAGCCAGCACATAGATCAGGAGGAGCAGAAAAGCCTACCTCACTGTCAGAAGACTACAGTGATATTGGCCTGGTCTACACACTTAAGTTTTGTCAGCATAGTTCTGTTGATTGGGGTGGGGGGCGGAAGGGGGAATCACATCTCCTAGCTGACACAGTTATGCTGGCAACCTCCTCCCCCCCCAGTCTTCTGTAGGTATAGCTAATGCTGTTCAGGGAGGCAGTGTAGCTATCCCATCAGAACTCCTTCTGTCAGCATAGCTATGTCAGCCAACCTCTGCAGTGTACACATGGCCTTGGGCTGCTCAGTCCTGCTCCGACTCTGGGCCTGCAGAACCAACAGATTTTTGAAGTCTGACCGCCTGTTAATTACTGAAATGATGCCATAAGACAGTAGCATGCATGAAACAGAGAGGCAGAGAAAAATCTACAATTGCACTGCCTGGTGCCAAGTCATATTACTGAAGACCATGTCTGATCTTCTCAAATAATAAAATGTTCTTCTACCATGTGTTTAAACTCACTTATGTGATGAGAAGCACTGATCTGTGAATCAAGTATAAGTCCATTCATTAGGCCCATTGGTAACTTGCACTCTAGAGAGAACACAAAAATGGTTGATGACTGATGAGCTGCATTCCATAACTTATCAGGAAAAAGAGGGTCATTCAGAGTCATGTTTGAGGAGCTGGCTGGGCCTTTCTGATGAGATCACCCTTCGTACCAACTCCCAATAGGGCACATTTGGGACTTCATCAACGTTTAAAAAAAAAAAAAAAAAAAGAGAGAGAGAGAGAGCGCGCGCTCTGTATGCGCGCAGGATCAAAATCATCTCTGCATTCAATTCCCTCAATTAAGAATTCATAGGTGGTTTTAGAGAATCAAAGAATGTAAAGTTAGTGCTTTGAATGCTATACAACACTTCTTTTAAAATTCAATTTACTATAATCACTCCATGAGCTCCCCCTTTATAATATAGCCGTTTCCTCAATTCAGATTCTATTCCGCCATTACTGTCCCATGCCCTGAAAGGGGGAGAGAACTTTGTAACTAGACTCCTGTATATTAGAATGATCATGATTCGATTCAGTACCTTTTTCTACAATGATAAAGGAGGCCTGCATTCCAGCTTGCTGATATTCCCCCACTTCGGTGTCTAAAAGCCACATGCCAGCTTTTGGTGGTGTCATTTCAATAGTTCGAAATGAGCCTTTAAAAGAGAGAGGAGAAAAACAAATCACAGCTAATCTATTGAAACGTTAGCAGGAGATTGGCTGACACAGAACAGTGAGGCTGGATAAACCAAGGCCTATCGATCCTGCCCATTTCTGGTGGCTTGACAAAGTGAGAGTCCAATATCCTGCACCTATTGGAAAGCGTAGCAGATACAAACATCATTCTCCTTTTAAGAAACAGCTTCTAATTAGAGACATGCGGGAATCAAAAGTTCAGATCTGAATCCAAGCTTCACTGCTTTAAAATTTACCTTTTCACATAACCTTGGATGCATGCACATATTTTGTAGAATACTGCATACGCAGTATGCGCTGTGTGGTCATGTAGTGAATGACCTAACCTTTTACACGGATTCATGCTGTGGTAACAGTAACTCTGAGGGGCTGATGCTGGTCCCTGCTCCAGCCATGGCTCTGGCAGTGTGTAAGGGTTGTAAAGGAGCCACAACAGACCATGCACTAGAGGGGAATTCTCCACGAGTCACAGCTTTATGCTGCTCCCACCATCCCCGACATGTTCTTAAAAACCTCCAGTGATGGGGATTCCACAACCTCCCTTGGAAGCCTATATCAGAGCTCAACTACCCTTAGAGTTAGAAAGTTCTTCCTAATGTCTATCCTAAATCTCCCTTGCTGCAGATTAGGCCCATTACTTCTTGTAGCCCCTTCAATGGAGAACAATTGGTCACCGTCCTCTTTATAACAGCTCTTAACATATTGGAAGACTGTTAGCAGGTCACCCGCTCAGGTTTCTCGTCTCAAGACGAAACATGTCCAATTTATTTAACCATTCTTCATAGATCAGGTTTGCTAACCCTTTTATCATTTTTGTTGGTCTCCATTTTGTCCACATCTTTCCTAAAGTGTGTGCCCAGCACAGGTGCCAGCTTCTAATTTTCCCTGGGGGTGCTCAACCCCCACTCAGCCCCAGGCCCCACCTCCACCCCCACCCTGCCTCTTCCCACCCTCACTCCACCCCTGCCTCTTTCCAACCCCTCCCCCGAGCTCGCCCCTTTCCCACTCCTCCCCCTCCCAGCGCCTCCTGCACGCCGCGGAACAGCTGTTCAGCAGTGTGCAGGAGGTACTGGGAGGGAGGGGTAGGAGTTGATCAACAGGGGCCAGCTGGGAGTGGAGCTTAGCTGCAGGTGGGTGCTAAGCACCTGCTAATTTTTCTCCATGCCCTGGAGCACCCACAGAGTCTGCACCTATGGTGCCCAGAGTTGGACATAGTACTCCAGCTGAGGTCTCACCAGTGCTGAGTAGAGGACAATTACTTCCCAAGCCTTACATACCACACTCTTGTCAATAGACCCCAGAATGATTTTAAGCCTTTCTCACAACTGCATCACATTGTTGACTCGTTTTAAATTTGTGATCTACTATAACCCAGAAGATCCTTTTCAGCAGTACTACCACCTAGCCAGTTATTCCCCATTTTGTAGCTGTGCATTTGATTTTTCCTTCCTAAGTGAAGTACTTTGCACTTGTCCTTATTGAATTTCATCTTATTGATTTCAAACCAATTCTCCAATTTGTTAAGGTTGTTTTGAATTCTAATCCTGTCCTGCACCCCTCCCACCTTGGTACCACCTGCACATTTTACAAGCACTCCATTATCCATGTCATTAATGAAAATATTGACTAGTTCTGGACCCAGTACTGACCCCGGATGGACCCCACTGGATAAGCCCTCCCAGTTTGACAGCGAACCATCGATAACTACTCTTTGAGTACCGTCTTTCAACCTGTTGTGCGCCCACCTTATAGTAAGTTCCCTAGTTTGGTTATGGGAATGTCTTATGGGACTGTATGAAAAGCATTTTAATGGCAACAAAAAAAAGAGCTCTATTGCGATTATTAACTAGTTATTCATGGAGTCTTTCTTTTCAGTGTGAATACTAAGCTCTCTAGCCACAAGTCTCCAAGCACTTTACAAAGGGAAATCAGCATTATTGTCCTCATTTTGCAAATGGGGGAAACTGAGGGACAGAGCAGGGAAGGGACTTGCCCATGTTCACACAGCAGGTCAGTGGCATAGCTGGGAACAGACCCCAGACAACACGGCCTACCAGCTCTATCTCCCCTATACAAACCTGCTGTGCCTGATCAGGACATCAGTCCATGCACTCCATATCCCATCTCCAACCTTGCCCAGTAACTTATATTTCAGAGGAGGGCGGCCTCCTCTCCAGTCCCACCTCCCCAACTCAATGAGGTAGATCTGTAGTTCTCAAACTTTTGTATTGGTGACCCTTTCACACAGCAAGCCTCTGAGGGAGACCACCCCCCCCCTAAAAATATTAAGAAGTGTTTTAATTTATAACATTATTATGGATGCAGGAGGCAAAGCGGGGTTTGAGGTGGAGACTGACAGCTTGCGACCTCCCATGTAATAACCTCGCAACCCCCTGAGGGGTCCCGACTCCCAGTTTGAGAACCCGGAGGTAGATGATGCTGGGGTTGGGGAAGTCCTTTCCGACCTCACAGGAAATGAACAGCTAGTACCTTGCAACACAAGACTTGATCATCACTATTTTAATGGGCCCAAGCCAATTTCTGCTTCTGCTGATCTAATGACATTGAATTTTAGTAGAGTCACCCCAGCATTACCAAGTGTAGGGTTTAGCCTCATAATTAGGAGTATAAATGGCAAGACACTGAGCTGATATGTACCTGGAAGGAGAGGATAGACACCAAGCTGATGCCCAGGGACTTCTGTGAAGGTCTGACCATGAAAGTGAACCACGTGAATATCTTTTGACCCGCCCATATTCAACAAGTGCCATCGGACCAGTTCATCTTTATACATCCTCAGTCCTTGCAAGTGATATATGATCCCATTAATGGCTGAAAAGAAAAATATTACAAGGGATAAAAAACTACAAACACACTCCAGCTGAGCGGCAATAAAGATGTCAACTAGAATTGGACCAGAGGATACAGATTGGATCTAGATCCAAATGTCCCCAAAGCCTATAGAGTTTCAGATCTGGTGTCCTGGTCCATGCCAATCTCTAGTGTCAACATATAATAATGACCTTCTCAGTAATAAATTAAGTGTCATTGCAAGTGTAATTGATGGTCATTCAAATAAGCGAGAATGCTTTCTACCTTCCTGGTAGAAACAAAATGAACAAAAGCCCCAGAAACTCTTGAACAGTCAAAAGTAGATAGTGTTGAAATTTATCTGTTTGAACGAGTCGAACATGAGGCCAGCTTGATTCATATTAGGTTTGTGAGCCAAACTAACCCCATAAACCCTATATTAGGGGGCCTAAATTAAGTTGATTCCTCTTAAAGAGTCATCATCAAGTGGGTGTTGCAACTCTAAAATTTCAAGGGAAAATCCCCCAGGGTCCCTACTGGCCGTGGGGAAAAAAAAGTCTCAAAAATATTAATCAAGTGTTAAGCAATACCCAAATGTCTGCCTGAGACTGCAAACAGCCTAAAGCAATAGCTCTGAGAGGTGTGACCTATCCACTTCATCTGAATAGTGCATTGATTCTGAAATGTAAAGGTGACGATTTAAATGTCAACTTTGTTAACTATTTCACTACTTATTTTATTGGAAACATCCAGCAAATGTGCTTATTCCAATCCCAAACTGCCTCTCATCTCCTCGGTTGGGGGATTAATATTAAAATAAACTAACAGAGGTTCCTGTGTTGATGGCAATATTCATTATCATATTAAATTCAGAAAAACTCCATTTTTCAAATTTAAATGGAAGTGCCACAGAATTCACAGCCTGCTGCACCTGAATGCCAGAGAATTCAGAGACCAGGCCACGGGATTTAAGCACTGCTTGCTGTAGAGTACAGGGGGCTTGAATATAATGAGACACACTCTATTAATGTCAAAAGATCTGACTTATGCCTGACTTTAAGGACCACATTTTAAAAACGTGGCTTCCATTTTTGCATACAATCATTTATTCACATGAATAGTAGTACTAACCGTCCAAGTTTCCAAAAGAGGTCTCCCATTTAGGCACCTAAATGAAGTGATCAGATTTTCAAAACTGTGCATCACCCAACAGCTCTCATTGTTGTGAATGGGGGGAGCTGCTGAGTTCTGAGCTCTTTGGAATAATTGGCCACTTCTTTTGGTACCTAGGTGGGAACTGGACTCTTCTGAAAAGCCAGATTCTGTTGTGGGTGCCAAGCACGTCTGAAAATCCACCCCCTATGCACAAACTCCCATCTGTGCCAATTAGAGCTGGCTGAAACCAGGATGTTCTGTTTCATGGGGAATTTCACAATTTTTATGAAACACAAAAATGCATTTTTGTGGGAAATTAATTAAAACTGATGCAATTTTGCAAAAAATTTTGGTGTAATCAGATCAGCATTTTCAATTCAATTGAACACTGTTTCAGTTGAAATTTTCTACCAGCTCTCCTGCCAAACAAACAAACAACCCCCCCCTCCACACACACACACACACACACACACACACACACACCGCACAGATGGAGCGGCCTGCCTGAAAATTCTCTTGAAACTGCTTTTTGATGGAAAATTGATTTTTTTTTAAATGAAATTCACCCAGAAAAGGTTCTGTTTTCCATGGAAAACTTCAACTTGTGTTGAAAATCCTGAAGAACCAGGGAGATTATGGTTTTCAGCCCACAACTGAAAACTTCCTGTTCAAAACCTGAAAAAAGTCAAAATTTTCTGTGGAAAATTTTAACAAAAACATTTTTTCTGTTTTTGTCAACATTTTCCAACCAGCTCTAGTCTATATGCATATTCTATTTTTATATGCACAAGGAATAGTGGGGGAAAAAAAAAAAAAAAAAAAAAGGTGCATGCAAATGATGTGTGCGTGCAAAGTTGCAAGTGAACCAAGAGAAGCTGGGTTGAGGTCTTTTTAACTCCTTCCTCTTCCCTCCCAACATGAATAACCGACAAAGGGAAACATTAGTACCATGGAATTTATGGTATTTTTGCACTTCTGAGGTCTTCTCACTGTAAGTCCTTTTGGAATGCTTATCGAAGTACCAGCTTTTCTCTTCATCAAAGACCATAAAAAGCAGGACAAACTCTCGGGTATCTACTGGCCTGTTACTTGTACTGAGGGTTCCCTTTTGACAAATCAAGATTGGACCAATCAAGCCTGAGTGAATATCTTTCTCCTGGAAAGCAATAAATACAAATTACAAGTAAAAGTTAGGGTTTCCCAAAATACATCATTAATAACAATTTGCATATTCACAGGGGCTTTCATTTGAGGATTTTCCCTTACAAGTGTTAACATTGGTGCACAGGAATTGCCAGACTGGATCAGACACGAGGCCCGTCCAGTTCAGCATCCTGTCTCCAACAATGGCCAGTGCCAGATTTTTTTCATGTTTTTTAAATAATCCTAAACTTATGCTGCCAGTCTGTGATCCCTGTCTAGTTCTGCAATATCCTTTTTGAGATGGGTGGCCAGTTCCACACATACAGTATCCAGAGGAGGCTGTACCACTGATTATATAATGGCATTATAATCGTTCCTGTATTGTTCCCCATCCTATTCCGTATGCATCATAACATTTTGTTTGCTTTTTCAACTGCAGCTGCACATTGAGCAGAGGTTTTCATTGATCTGTCTGCAGTGATGCTCAGGTACCGTTCCTGAGTTGATATGGTTAATTTAGAACCACATAAGGTGCAAGTAGTTAATGCATACAGAACAGAAAATGTTAATTTTGTATACATCAATACTGAATTTAATCTACCATCATGTTGCCCATTCAACTAGCTTGGTTAAGTCCCTTTGAAGTTCCTCACAGTCTTCTCTGGACTTGGCGAACCTAAATTAATTGTGTCATCAATGGATATTGCTACCTCACTAGTCACCTCCCCCTCTTTCCAGGTCATTAAAAAAATGTATTGAACAACACTGGAGCTAATACAGAACCTGGTGACCCCTTGCTGTTAGCCTTTTGCCATCATGAAAACTGACCATTTAATCCTACTGTTTGTTAAGTCTTTTAACCAGTATTTGATCCATGACTATACTCAGCCTTGCATTCT